CCTATTAGATGTACGCTCGTTTCTTGAAGGTTTGAAGGTTGTACCGGTTCCGAAAAAATCTTGACTAAATGACTGGCGTGGGACTATGGCGAAAAGATGCTACGATCTGATGCTGTGCGGATCAAACCGAATAATTCCTCAGAACGCTCCCCGTGCTATATGCGATATAACGTAGCCACATAGCGTGGCTACATTCCTAAACAGTGCCAAAGAGTTCACCCGGTCCGAGGTAACAGGAGAGACAACGATTTGAATGCAGTCCAGGGGAACAAGCTAAGCTAGAATATTTGTTGAAAACTATGTAAAATTTCAGTCTGGAGGTACGTTCGATTTATTGCAATAAACTTACCCGGTAAAAAGTATACCTAAATCTAATTTTCAAAATCTGCACCTCTTGTTACAAGAAAAACTGTTTGTTTTGTAACTACTTAGACAAATCGTTAAAGACAATATTCTACGGTACTATGATTGTTTACGTGTCTGCGACGGACAACAGATTAAGTGCCGAGGAGGCACGGGGGCCTCGATGTGCAAACACTGATCACCTTCTCGAAATTGACCGCGACAACATCGGCTAAACCTCTTTGATAGTCTTGAGCCGACGCGACGTCCGCGTACGTATGTGTTAAAATATGTTTAGCGAGGTTCCGTGAAGCAATAAAACCCTTTGAAAATTTAAACGACCACAACTTTATTTATTTTAATTTTAGATTTAGGACCCGTTTTTCAAAGTCCGGGTTGCCAATATGTGGAATATAATTTATTTAAACTATGTGCCACATGAGACTCCGTCATCCTGTTAAACAGGACCTGGGACGGTGGTACGGGGGAGATTCATACCTCACTTCCCCGTGTATCTCGAGATGGGACCTATTGGGATACGCCGTCTTCAGTGGCAGCTGCGGATGAATTTGATTCCCGCATCCTCACGCCCACGTGACAGACGGGATATCGACTTTGGTTTTTAGTGAGTAAAGTATGACAGTCCCCTTCGTCTCCCCAGGCAAAGGGGCTCCAAGAGGATTTTCCACCTTGGGGTAAACGAAAAAATGTGCCACATGAGTTTATGGGGCACTTGTGATAACATCATTCACATAAACAGCTAAACGACGCTAATACAAAAAGGAACAAAATTTTTTTCTTATTTTGTTAACGGCTTACTCGGGTTACTATTTGGCGAGACAACTCGACTAGTTTCAAGCTACGCTAGGAACTCATATTCAAGAACAGCACGCGACACGCGACGCATTGAACGTCGCGCAGCTAACCGCCAAATAATTACGACAATTATTATAATAATTAATTTAATATGTAATTACTAGACTAGATAAAAAGGTGTATGCAAGTTGCTAGAATTTTGTCAAGGCCCGCCAAAAATTAGAATTAGCAGAAACCGGAATGTTTAGAACAAAAACTAAAATATAGTTGGCCAAGACTTAACTCTGGGAATCCTAAAGACATTATTCTTTATTATTTCAAACAATAGAAAGATTAAGTCATAAAGACAAGCTTTTCCACACTTCACCTGCGAAATATTACCAATGTGCCTAAAACCAGTGAGAAAACTGACACAATCGTACTAATCAAACTGAAAATTGTAAAATGTGCTTTAAATTGATGTTATACAATAACCATATTTATTTATTTCATTGGAACTAAAGATGGATTTGCAAAGTTGAAGTCATCCTGTAATAAAAAATCTCATAAAAACTGCCCGAATAAGAAATAAATTTTATTAAAACATTAATCTTTATTGTAACATGTTAAAAAACCTGCTATTAAAAATTTGAGAGGATATTGTTAGCGCGAATTTCCCAAATGTCTGTTAAGTGCCTACCTCTTCGGTACACATATTCGCAAATTATTGTCATCCAACTACATAACTATAATATGTAGAAGAAATAAGTATACAAACTGGCATAATACCTACACTTCCGCGACTATACCTAATGCCCGAATGCACAAAAAACAAACATTAATTATTAATTGAGAATAATAATGATTTCTCTGTCTCGATCTGAGAATATAAATTAAGTATATTTATTAGTAAAATATAAGACCTTTAATTATTTTAGCCTTCACTCAGCCCAAGTGTTGTATAATGTAAGATTTAGACATAAAAACTATAATTTAAACCCTGATATACCCTACAATAATTTATTTCGGCAAGTATACCTGAGTTTGAATTATTAATCTTTATTTTCCAAAAGTAGGTTGCATTGGTTGTTTGTAAATTTATTTTTATAATTTCCTGACTATAACTCCTTCAAGTAGAAACTAAGCCTTCTAGTCCAGATATCCATGTTGATAATTGTAATGCGTCAACCCAAGGCTTTTTCTGTATTTGAAAATCTTTTTCGTAACCTTGTATTAAAAACAAAATACGGTTTTCTTGTGTCGCACAATGCAACACGAATACGAGCCCCTAGCGTACTTTGAAACTAGTCGAGTCCTTTATCAAACAGTTAAGTGAGCAAGCCAATTAAACATATTAATTATAGAAAATATTTTGTTATAAAACGTGGTATCTTCTCCTTCTTTCTTTTACGTGAAAATAGAGAGACAATTATGCGCTCAGATATTATGCTCTTGCGAACTCTTGATCAACAAGTCATTATTGTCTAATTGAACCAGCTGCACGTAGATACTAATTTACCTGATACCTACATAGTACATCCTTCTTTTTATTAAACATGCAAAGCTTGGAGATCTTGTAACTCTTTGAAACAAAAAATGTGGGTGAGCCATGCTTCGGCACGAATGGGTCGGCTCGACCGGAGTGATACCACGGCCTCAGAGAAAACCGGTGTGAAATTACCAAAGAGTTGTGTTTCGCCGTGTGAGTGAGGCTACCGGAGGCCCAATCCTTCCCCTACCCCAATCCGTTCCCTTTCCCAAAATCTCCAAATCCCTCATCCCCAAAAGGTCTACAACGCACTCGTAACTCCTCCGTCGTTGCGGGTGTCCATGGGCGACGCTGATTACTTACCATCAGGTAATCAGTTTGTTCGTTTGCCGACCTATTACATAAAAAAACATATTGTAACCTACACCTAGGAACAAACAAATTGATTTGATTCAATGAAATTCTGATCTTACCACAACAAAAAAGGAACTAGTGATTTATTATTGAACCCCTCAAGCAAAGTCGCATTCTTTATGAGAAAGTTAACCTAAGTACAAGTTAAAAAATTATAATTCTTATTGTACTACACCCAGTATGTCAGGTTGGTAGAACATTGGGTATTAACCTCACATATACGAAATAGATGCTAAACATTTTTAATTTAACCGAAATCTATTGAAACAGTTGGAAGTGTTAACTAAATGTTGGTCTTTTAAGTTCAATACTCCAACGAAGTTAGGGTGCTCTGATTGCTTACCATCAGTGATACGTTCGTTGTTTGATCGTTAGCCCTCCTAACCATAAGACCAATAAATTATGGTATTTACACGAGTACGTTGTAAAAAAAAATATAAAATTTAATAACACAATATTATAAGGTTTTACTATGTATCATACATGTTTTTAATCTTTTACACCTAGATACATTATAAAACTTAATGATATCACTCCGTTACTTATCCGAACTGATATTTTCAATCAATCCGAGTATCAATATTTTCGCCATGATTGAAATGTACTAGGATACATAACATCACAGTTTTCAATGCAACTGAGAATTGAACAAAAGAGGTTTTAACGAGTTTTGCAAGCCGGAAATATGTCGGAAGTACTAGACATAAGTAGTTACGCTATTTACATAAATAGTCAAACAGATTGTTGACGCTAATTAAAATAAAGAATGAATCGGTATATGCATGTATAAACATGTATTTTCAGAACAAGTTTAAACATTAATTTTATAGAAATGTATGCAAATTACCGGTTGCATTTGAAGCTTCAATGCGTACAGTAACCCTAAGCATCAAATTTAATAGGATTTTTTTCAAATAAGCCAATATTTGTAATAGTCTCGAGGAACCGGACTTGTGAATGAACAAAAACTTAAAGGTCAAAGTCCCAATTGATCACATGGATTTGGTTACCGATGTTACCACCTTTTCATAAGTACGTGGTAACTAGTAAATATTAATGGTGAAAAAACTTCGTCAAACTTCTAGAAGTGTCCTTATTGAATCAATAGACACAAAATAATGACCAAACCCAAGCAGCCAGTAATAAAAACTTACCTAATCGCACAGTAAACTCGTGTCTTCAAAATTGTAAAATTCGAATAAACTCAATTTTACGATACTTTTTTATGCATAAAATGGAACAACAATATAATGGGCAATGACATCAAACTGCACCCACTCTTCATGTTATCGACATTAGAAAACCCCGATAAACGGTTTAATATTGTCAGTTAAATAAATATTTAAAACATCGACCCAAATATAAAAGTGCAGTATTTTGGAATAGAAAAAAAAATCTAGAAAAATATTGTTCAGATAAATAGTGTGGTATTTTCATCTTAGAATAATCACCAAGTTCAACAAACTTGACGCTAAAAGAGAACAACCAATGAATTATAAAGTATCACGTTAATTATTTGTTTTCTTAATGTTCCGTATAATATAGAGGACATCGTTAAACATAATTCCCCCATTTTGAAAACTTAATTCATTATTTTTAACTATAAACAAAACGTCAAAGATACGTCGTCTGACACGATACAAAATGACAATTCCTTGTCGGTTAAAAACTAATACGAGCTCTTATAATTAAGAAAAAAACTTTACGATCTTGTTTACCAAATAACTTATCGAGTAAACAAAGGAAACAACACATAAAACCTTATTTAGTTCACACCTCACATATTTGTTAGTAACACAGTCATCCATGACTGCAATAATTTCTCAAATAGGAGATATCGGGCTAATACTTACAGAATTAGAGTTAAAATAAAGCCGAATCACCGACTTCATTATCAATACGCTTTATTAGTGTGATATTAGTAAATCATCAAATCGATGACATGAGGAGTCAAGTTGAAGGCGTGTGAAGTGCGATGTGATAAAAGCGCGCGGGGGCAGCGCGCGCCGCCAGTACCGAGCTCACCTGTACGCCGTGCGCAGGCGCCGTTTTGCGCGGCGATACGAACGCGATACTTCACGCTCACACGCAACCCCGCGCCCCCACTCAAACACTAGTTAATCTGGACAGGACATCAGCTGTCCGACTCTAACATATAGTGATTGTGCACTTGAACAGCTCGGCCTGGAGCACTTACAGCCGAAATAGGACCTCGCCGGTCTCATAGATCGATCACTCAGGTGAGCCTAATCATATTATCTAAACGAGTTGCGTCGTCGGCTGAATCATGTGATGAGCTCAAAGAGTTTTGATCATACGTTAAAACGCCGACAGTTTGTGAAAATGTAGCTCTCTGTGGTTTTTGAAACATTAACTTATTTACTCACGTACAAGCAACTACTTACGAACGTGTCTTTTTTAAATTATCTGCGAATGATTCATGTTAATCAGAATTATCGTGTAAGTTAATCAAATGAATAGTGAAATTGTTAAATTATTAAGCAATGAATTTAATGACTGAATAGACTAAATGTGTCAAGTTTACAATAATTCCCTCGATTTCGAGCTCCTGCCATTACCCACAGCTGACAGGCGCTAATTAGGCTCACAGAGTCATGTTCCCAATCGGAGGTCAAATCGTAGAGATCAAATGAAGTCAATTTAGATGAAGTACATTTTTAAAGTAATATAATACTGCTAGTTTAATTGCCATTGACCACATTCATTTCGATGACAGGAATGATGGCTCCAGATGAAAAGTTTACAGTAAATAACATCCGCTTTTCCGATGCGAGTTTATCAACTTGTCAATATGTCAATTGTATGGATAGTACTACAAACATTAACTGTGGACTGAATCGTAGAAAACATGCAACAGACTACTCACAAAGGAGCTCGGTTTTGAAGCCAAGGATCCACCAAGGCGATCTGTTGGTGTTAGTATTCCCAACGCGTGTGACGGCGCAAAGCGGTAGGCGCGTGACGTAAGGTCACCGCGCCTGGCCACTGACATGGCACGAGATTAACATGCCTCCCTTGTGGGCTCGTAACGTAACCACGGTATCATCGAGGACCACCATATCCACATGCTCGACAATTATAATCTTTAAATCGGCGGCGTCTATACGTTATCGGTAACTCACCTACCAATACATCGTAATCAGATCGACATCTACGGATCTTGATAAGAAACTAACACATTAATCACGTTTAAAACGTTTTTGAAAGATAACAATACAAGTAATTGTTACATTACCACGACCTTCCCGTATCGGTCTTCGCGTGACTAAAATAAAAATAGGAAGATCGTGTTCGAATGACAGTAGATACGTGTCAAAATGTGCATTTAAACTGATTCAATTGCAATCGTTATCAAATAAACATTTAATAGACAGCAACATTATCGATATTATGAATGAATTATTGCAAACCAAAAAGCATACAATGTACAATAATGTATTTCAAATATGAAAACAGGAGATTGTAGGAGATAATAAGTGTAGATTTTGGGTTAGAGAGAATAAATTTCTTATTTGAATAAAAGGATTATTGCGAGCAACACGTAATTATTTATGGTAGGTTACAAGGCTATAAGGAAAGCTAACATCGGAAATGTCCGAAGGTCAATAAACCATCAAAGCACAAATAAAGACCTGCGAATAAAACTTGTTCATTATTGGTGTTGCCATTGACGTCAGGGACCCTGGCCTGTGCCCGATACACTTGTTTTCGTTTTATAAATCACTTTCTTATCTCACTTCAGAATGTTTGGAAATTAAATATATCTAGACTATGACAATGTATTAAGATGTATCCAACACGTTAAAAAACTATTCAGTAATTTGAGTACTGTTTTTTACTCCTTTCTCTGAAAAGGACGAGTTAAGAAAGCGTTGCCGTTGCGTTGAAAGAATATTCAAGTTAACCAACTAACAATATGTTATTTTGCCTGTTAAAAGCTGTCTACATTGTTATTAATAGAATTTAATGTTAAAGGTTAAGTTAAAGAACATTCTTCAATATTATTTTATATGTGATATTTTACTCTTTCCTCAGTGTTATACATACTCGCATATCGATTTATTCAATTTGTTGAACGGTAAACTTTTCCTGCAACGTTAACGATTTCATTATCAACTTCTATTTTATTCAGTATTGTTATTTAATTTTTCTTTCAATATTTCGGAAGTTGGTAGAACCAGAACTTAATTCATTTAAATTATAAACACAGCTACTTTTTTACTTTTTGTTGCTTGTCTACATTTTTTTACATTAAGAAACGCATTAAGTCAGTTTGCAAGCACTAGTAGGTCCATAAATAATTAACATACAGTTAAGTTCTTATATTTTAATATAAATAAGTACATCTTCGTAAATCAAGTAATCTGTATTTAATTCACCTTTTTATTGATACTGATTTATTTAAATAAATCCTCAAACCTCTATTGCGTTGTGTACTTACCTATAAACAGGTAAGTGAACGTCACACGGGAAATCTTATTATTAATTAAATTATCTATTACATATATATATTATATATACATACATATAAATTATCTATATATGTATTATCATCACCATCGTTCTCTTATAAGTAAAAAAACTGACTTATAAAATTGATTATTAAATTACCCACTTAATTATATGATTACTGTGTCAGAAACAACAACAACAAACGTGTTGTTTAAGACACGCATAATATTGTACACTCTATAGTTACGAGCGTGTTATTTTGTAGATTTGTGATAATGTTGCACACATACAGTACCTACATACAAACTAAATAAAAAAAATATTAATTTGAATTCACGTGTCATAGGACGCCTACGTACGTAGGTGCAGCTATAGATATTGGATATAATTAATTGAAAGAGTTTCTTCTACAAATTCCCACTTGTATACAATGGTTTCATTAAAACAAAGGAAAACTTAATAAGTATTAGACTTGTTAATGCAACTAGTTAACTAGTTGCATGATACCAGTTTTTCCTTCATTAATAATTAAACAAGAAATAATTTCATTTGCTTCATCTAAATCTAAATAAAAGTACGGAAAGTTGGATCATAGAACACACCACAGGTATCCAGCCAGCCAGATGTATTTTTTAAACTTAAAAGCAAGTTAAATATAATATAACGACAATAGCAAAATCAAACCGTTATTTTTATTAGAAATATTCTCTAAGTATAGAACGCAGCCTGAAACGACGTATGTATGGTTGTATGATCGATCTACAGTGAGAACTCTTTTTTATAATTGAGGGTCAGAGGATCCTTGAGTGATTAATTTGTAGCACAAATTCAAAAGTAATAAATGACAATTTCTTAGATTCTTGAACTCGTATTACAAAGAAGTTTTACACATATTCTCATAAGTAGAGTGCAATTGCACTTTTGACCCTAGACCTTTTTTTAATGACAAGATCGACCATTACAAACAACACATACTTACCAATAAAAAGTGCTTGTTATAGTAATGAAATTATGTGCTTATCAAAATTACAATAATTATCAAATCAAGGAGCAGTTTGTATGAAATTAACCGCTGACCTACGCTAACCTTCATTGTCCACACCTCTACAACTGACATAAGTGATGTTCCTACGACCAGTAATGTGAAAATAACCTGGTAATCGTCATCATGATGAGACAGATCCTGTTTGATTTGTATGGTTCCTACCTTTCTTGAACATGATCTCGTCGTGAATAAAACATAATATAACGAGAAGTGCAAAGCGAATTAATATTATCAACGTGTAATTTTCAAAATTATTTTATTATATTATTATTAAAGTTAGCCTATATCTAAAATGCCTTCATTATGTCCGCCTTTGTATTTTTTTATGCACATAAAGTGTTAAATATATTAATAATTTATAAAAAAATAAATATATCTTAAACTGTTCAGCTTTTTAGGCAAAAATGGACATTATTGTAATCGATATAAATCTTGCATATTGCTCTAGTTTGATGTAAGTAGGTCCGTTAACACATAGTAAGCATTTGCATAAAACGGATGGATGCCTTCAAAATAACTATTATATATATATATATAAAATAATATTATGTGATCTTGAATACTTGTGTTCCAATGAATGACCCACATTTGTAGTCTCTTATTAGTAGTAGTACTTAGTTGAATTCTAAAATGTGCAAATTAGCTTTGAACCCTATCCGCATAAATCTGAATTACTTATATTATTGTCAACTACTCGACCATTCTCCAATTTCACGTCCTTTGCCTAGTTACCGCGTCCATTTTTATTTTTCGCTTATTTAACGTTAGGTTGTAACTTGTGGTGCAGAATGCATAATTACCTTTAAACCAGGTATCGTACATTTAATTCAATTTTAATATAATTAACTAAAATGAGTGAAAAATAAAAAAAATATATTACGGTAATTAGACAAAGAACGCCAAATTGGAGAAAGACTTAATTCAAACCTTTCATTTTGTGTTCGTTACTCTAAAAACAAAACACAATCATCACGTCTTAGTTACGTTTGCAATTCATAATTTATACAAAAAAAAAATCAACGTTGTTTATGGGAAGGCATGCTCCATCGTAGCTCCACCAGGCGTGATAGCGGCAATATGTGTATCCATTACGAAATAAATAAATACATACAATGTTTCTAGAAACATGGTACCTAAAAAACATAGGCTGGAGACAATTTCCGATGTTATCTTTTTTTTTAATCAAATAAGCCTAATGCGTCATTAAACGAATTAGCTAATAGTTACCCAATCAAGTCAAGTCGGACGAGATTGGTTGAATCAATCGGCAAACATTCGCGAAAGATTTAAATTCAATGTCGATTTCGTGGTTTTCTTACACTAAGTAGAAATACCTTCCTGTAAGGTCATCTATTCGTTTCTCTGATACAGAGTTTGTTGGCATTGACATTCAAAATCTTTTATACTTACAAGTACAGTGATAATAAGACTTACCGACGTAATAGTCTGCTCTTCGTCGTGGCGCAATTTATCAAAATATTCGCTCTTATATAATATATTGACAGCAATCGAGTTTAAATGCTGTAATAATATTTGGTGATAAACAAATCTTACTATTTAACATTAGTTACATTTTAAACATTTTTTTATTACGTTTAGTGACTGCTCTGGTGTTGCGAGTTTCAATTTCACTTACAATACGATGATCTGAAAAAAAATTTTAAGTACAAATTGTTGACGAATTTACCTGCTTATTATAATTTGAATTATAATACAGAGATT